GGTAAATTATGGTACAAACGAAAAATGTCATACGGCAACATAGTCAGCACACACTAAAGTAAATAAACTGGAGATTAATAGCAAATTAGCGAAAAATAAACACAACAAACGTTGTGCATATTAAATTTACTCACTTTTTCGTTGTATACTAGCATTAATAATAAAATTTGCAATAAATAACTCAAAAAGGCCATATTTTCTTTTGTTTATTTACAAACATGTGTTTGTGATCAGCTTATTTTCTTACTTGCAAGTTTTAGCGGGGAACATTTTTTCCAGCAGAAATTTGAAGCTCTCTTTCACATTTTGCTCTCTCGATTTCCCCTACTTTGCAAGTTTTTTGGGTACGAGAACGCAAAACCAGTAAAAGTTTTCTAAAACTTTAGATAGTTGGGCGTGCGAGTACACTCCTAGTGACTTAGTGTGAACAATTCATGTCATGAATTTCCACGAATAAATTCAAATTCCAGCGAAATGCAAGGGAATGTACGTTGTCGTTGTTTTAAGTACATTTCTTGATACATTTGAAGTGGAATTTTTGTAATATTTTCAGTCTTGTACAAAAATTTTTGTGAACAGACTTGTTGTGCGATACTATTTTCAGCATAAACGGGCTTTTACAAGATAGGCATTTTTTCTGATACATTTAAATATACGGGGACATACAAACAAGTAGCATTTACATGTGGGGATACATATCTTGTAAGAATGCTTTAATACTGTTCCATTAATCCATTTTTGTATGTTTGAAACATTAATACAGCCATATGCATACAGCAGTAGTACAAGTGCATGATTAAGGTACGCCACCAACAGCGATTTCTTATGCTTAAAATTTCTTCTGGGTATGTACGTTTGTACATGTATATATTTCTGGCTGCATACCAACACACTTTACCAATTTTAGATATATAAACCGCCTTGTATCGGATATCTCGGATTTCCATCAGCGGTACACCCTGTGATCGGTTCCAGTGCTGGACTCGGATTTATCATCAGCGACATCTTGCCGCTTTTATCAGAGTTCTGAACTTGGATTTCGATCGGCGACGTCTTTTGGCGGAGCAGCAAAGCTTGCGCCGATTGAGCAACCGGAGCAGCAGCAAACCTTATGCCGGTTCTGGAACCGGAGCAGCAGCGCTTCTAGCATAGGCATAAATATACTACTAAGGAAACTAGAAAGCATGGAAAGATAGGAAGAAAGCAGAAATAACCAGATATAGAAAACGTGAACAGATAAAGTTTTGAAGTGATTACGAGAAAAACTAAAAGTGTTGGATTATTACCGTTGGGCGCCATTTTTGTTGTGGAAGCCTGAAGTCGTGGATGGGAAGTCGTGGCGCGCCAGGCATGCTGGAAGCCCGGGCTAAGCTCGTCGTCGCTCACTGCTACACAATAAAAAAATATATAAGGGTTCATGCCTGTTACAATAAGAAAGGTGAAAAGTAGGAGAAACCGTCCGGTCAGCTTGGAGTCAGCCCTCCCCCTCTGTTTGAACACCAAACAGCCATGAGCTCTACTTCGACTCCACATACTTTAGTAGAACTCCCAATACTGACGTTAGTCCGTACGTCGACTGGTCAAGTCATGTCCGACGTCCGTCCAGCTAGTCCCAGCAGCGAGATAGTTCACCTGTGTTGCACCATTGCTCCTGGAGAGCTACCCCTCTTACACCAACCATAGAGTTCTAGCAAGCCATGGTAAACTTACATACCACTATGACCTACTAACTGAAAGACTGTAACTTCAATTAACACCGAACTGATTTCCATTTATTTAGTTCATTAATTCAAATCTCTTACTCACTAATGTTGTTTTTTTTTTCTATACATTTATATCATTTAGCTTTACTTTACTTCCCACAAACAAATCCCTAAATCTTATTTCTACGGTCTGCTAGTTCTCCTCCTCTTACAATCCTTTTCTTCTTCCAATTCTTTCCCTCCTTTTTTTGTTATTAAATCAAAAAAAAAAAACTATCTATAATTATGTTTATAATTCTTAATTATTCCTCCTTTTTGTTTCATTAACGAAAACTTCTAAACCATTGCAAGGGTTAATATCATGCATATGAGTATCTACGCATACGAACATATGCGTAGATACATTCATGCAAAAGAGACAAAAATCAATAACTACGTATTTGCAAAAAAAAGGTAATATTTATGTTTGCATATGTAAGTACGTATTTATATGTATATGTAAACATGTAAATCTCTCACCTAATTTCTCGCTCCGCGTTGGTACCATCGACACCGGGAAGCTGGAAAGGCTGTGGGAAAGAATTGACCCCTAGAAAATACATACACATACTCATTATACGAGTGGATCTTAGAATCTAACTGGAAGACCCCAAGTCTGATATGTGGCTGGAGCGCTCATTCGAAGCTGTGGGCAACAAGTGAAGCTCTGCCCAGTACCACGCGGTCTGTTAAACTCGACGGATGACCTTAGCTAGTCCGCGAAATTATGTTTCAAGCAAAAAAAAATAAATAAATCCTTCATGTGCGAAATTTAATTAATCAAATAATTCAACCTTTAGCAAAAAAAGCCGCGGATCAAGAAAGCAATATTGAATAGTGAACGAAAGTGTACGCGAGAAAGAAAAGGAATGAATCCCTAAAGAAAAAAAGGTTAAAGTGAGATTAAAGAGTTGTTCAATCAAAAAAAAAAAAAAAGAATGATACAATTCAATGATAAAAAAAAAATTTCAGGTGAGAATCAAAAGCGATTGAATTCGATTATAAAATATTTAATAAAAAAATAGAATCTCAAATAATCTATCATCCAGTTATAAAGCAACAGTAAAAAAAACCAACAGTGATTGACAAGAGGTAATTGAGAAGTAGTGGAAGAATCAAAGAAAAAGGATGTGAAGTGCGGGAATAAAACTAGAGTCTAGGGCGTACTAAGAGTGTTGTAAGAATTTTTGCAAAAAAAAAATGCTTAATTCAGTGTAGCAAAAAAAAAATCCAAAGAAAGTTTCCAACATTCTGCATTGTCTTCAAAAAATGCTAACAAAAACAAACTTAATCAGATAAAATGCTAGTTTAGCTATATCTACAAAAAAAAAGGTAAGTGACTTCGAATGAAAAATCAAAATCGGATTCCACACCCTATAACAATATTAATTTAAGAGAATTAGTTAGTTTAAAAACAACATCCTAAATTATTTGCAACAAAAAAAATTATATATATAAATGCGTTTGTGAGTGCGCTCCAGCGGGGGCCCTTTACGTATAACTAGGTTAAAGGTGGGTAGTGCGAAACAAATGTACAAAAGAAATTAATATTTTTACACGGATGTGTGTACTAAATGAAACAAAAACAAGCAAAATGACCTAAGTCCAGGCTATGAGGTACGGATGTCGAGAAGATCACCAACCGGCAAGTTTCCGCTCACGTATGCCTACTCGCTATGCCACAGCGAGTTGAGAGAGAAAACGACGGTGAGTACTAGTTGCTCAGTTATTTTGCAATAGCGGGCCCAGTGACTTTCACGCGCTCTCTTCCAACTTTCACTGGTACATACGTATGTCGAGTGGATTTCTTATATACCTTTTTTGTTGACACTGCAATTGTATCGAATGTGGCTAGTACTTTGTACATCCATGTACGTACATATACCCCTTCTTGCCGGAAATCGAGGTCCTTAAGGATAGCCTCCCGCGGGCAAGGACCTGAAACCAATACGTGCCCCGATTACCCTTCCACATACTAATATTTGTGTTTTACTGAGATATTTGCCCATGATTGAATTATCGTGCTTTTTAGTCTCTCTACAAAAACCGTGGAACTTTATGTTAAATTACTTGAAGTGACGACAATGTCAATAAATAACTTTACACTGACAATTATGTTGTTTTATTAAAATTATCCGGCTAATTAGTAGATAAAAATACGTATTATGTGGAAATACCATGAGAAATTACTTTACACGAAAAATCGCCTAACTCGAGATCAGTGGTTCACCCAAAAGAGATGTTAATGATATTCATATATGTCTTCCCATGCTCATTCATTTTAGGGCAAATATCATACATACAGCCAATTTCACGAAAGCAACTCAAGAAAAAAAGTGATTTTAATCTTTTGAATATTATATTGAAATTGAACGAGAATAAAAAAATAATAATTTTTCGATTTAAATTGCTGGTGAAACCGGCTGATTGGCTTACACGAATGTAAGAAAACACTTTTGCATCGCGCTTACCTCAAATTGGCGGGTTCTTATTTTATAAATAAATTCGATTCACTCCGTTAACTAAAACGTTTAAACTTTATCTTTTGCACAGTTCGCCTATTCACCGTTTAAACTGTTTATGTAAAGGCAAACGGAATTCAAATGAACTTCTAATAACAAAAGAAAAATGCCAGAATTTAAGCCGCACTCGCCCCTAACACCTTCAGTTGACCTTATTTCAATAAATCTTGATAAAATAGGCGATCGCCTTTCGGGTCTAGAGTTTGTGGCAAAAACAACTCTTTTGTACATTTTCTACGTTTATCTTACCCCACTGATCGAACGAACTTCTTTCAAGTTGCCTATCGAACATCGCGCAACATCCACCTCAAACAAGTGCATCACACATTATCTAAACACAGTCATGCTTAACATGCTGGCTTGAGATTTCCAGAGTGGGTAACAGAGCTACTTGGCAGCGTTACACGGACATGGGTTGTTAGTTGCAGGCTCAGCTCAGATACTTTTCACCAAACACACACAATTTGTATGTTCCTTTGCACTCCGTACTAAATCCTGCAAACCGGATTGCTATTGAAGTAGACTAATTAACGTCCCTACAAGAATTATGTGATGGAAACTAACACATTCTCATTTATCTTACTAACACATTTGCAAATTTTGCGTTAGTTAAAAAGAGACCATTAATAAGGTCATAAGTTGGAGGAAGACGGAAGATCACATGAACACAAATGTTTACATCAGTAGTGCGATTCTATAACTCTTAGCAATACAAAAATTGTTAGCTTACATAACAACTTTTGCCGTTTGCACTAACAATTGTGTGATTCTCTAACTCTTGCTTAACAGCGAAAAACAGCTGATTATTCCTTTTTATTTAAAATGATGAAATGTGGCATCTCAGTCGAGATAAATGTCAAATATGCGAAAAGTACAAAGAGGAATAAGAAAAAAAACGTATTTCCTTCCCGCGGAAACGGATTTTTTAGCGCCAGCAACGTATTGCAATTTTAAAAGGTAGTATTTAGTTATTTTAGTTATTAATTGGAATTTACTCGAACTTCTTTCATTTCAGGATGTCTATCCAGCCGACGAAAAGGAGCCGTGCATCGGGGGAGCAGTTAAGCGCGATGCTTGACTTTCTGGGTGAAAACCCGAATGTGGCGAGCGGCAAGTTCCAGAAGCTCCATGGCAAGTTGGAGAACACCAAGAAGTGGGCAGAGATGGCAGATAAATTGAATTCTCTTGGGGGGGCTGCCAAATCTGTGGAGTAATGGCAAAATGTAAGTATAAGTGATAAAGTACGAGCATTTCCGGAAATGCATTACTGCAAAACATCGCACCTCTTATTCCAAAAATATGTTTGCTGAAATCAGACATCATTATATACTTAAGTATAAGAAGTGGTGCTTTGCAGTAAGGCATTTCCGAAAACGGCCTACACCAAAGAATAGTAAAGTATGAAAGTGTGTTTCTATTTTGCAAAAGGTCTGGCGCGACCTAAAAAGTCGAACATCAACGCGAGTTCGTGATCGTAAGAGGGAGCAAGCATTGACGGGGAATATACCGCTTCAACAGCCTCCCTTGAACGAATTGGAGAAGCGGGTAATAGCTGTAGTGGGAAGCAGCTTTATGGAGGGGCAACCGGATGTCCAGGAGAATATTCCAATGGAAGAGGTAAGTTGAATTGTACCGTATTAAAAGCACATGCCAATATGCTAATCATATTGCAATATTCATTATACTATTTTTAGGAACTGCAATTAACATTGGGGGCGGCGGATGAAAATTTCCGCTTAGTCATGGAGGAAGACACCATGGTAATTCCTCCACTAACGGTGTCGGATGGCGAGTCGGAAATTCGGTGCGAAACTCCGAAAACGCCGAGGCAAACACCGCGCAGAACCGCTAAGCGGAAACGTGCGGAAGAATCGCCAACAAAGGCGAAATTTTTAAGAATTGCCGAGGCACAGGCCGAATCAGAAAAGGTATTTTTTTCAAGACTGTATTTGTATTGAATTATTAATAAAACTTTTATTTTCTTAGAGGCTTGCTGAAAGTGCTGCAACCAACGCGGAGGCCAACCGCTCCAATGCTGAGGCAATATGCAGAATGGCTGCTGCCACAGAGCGAATGGCTACCGTAACTGCAACAATGGCAGAGGCCTTCACCGTGTTGGCGGAGGGGGTGAAAGCTTGTGCGCATGCTTTCGCCCAGTTTACTAATTCACTGGGCCCTCCCCAATAGATGTAAATTGTTTGTGTATATACTTTTTTTTTGCTTTTTTAAGGTTCATTAATTTTTTGTTAAAGTTAAGCTCCTTAACTAACAAAACCAATATAAGTCCAAATTTGAGACTTTGTACAAAAATTATAAAAATTCCACAAACTGTTCTTCACAATTCCAAGCATTTTAATTTTGATTTCTAGAATAATGCAATTTTATAGCTTATTAAAATCGAGTATAATAAAGTGGAAGTTATTCTATAAATTAAAATTAGAATGCTTAAGATTGGGACGAAAAATGTATGCAATTTCTATAATTTTTCTACAAAGTCTCTAATTTGGACCTATATTGGTTTTGTTAGTTAAGGAGCTTAACTTTAAAAAAAAAATTAATGAACCTTAAAAAAGCAAAGAAAAGTAGTCAAAACTGGTACAAATTTTGATGTCCTATCTTTTATCGCGGGCTGTATGTATATATTGTTATTAATAATAAGTTAGATTATTATTAACTTATTTGTTGGTGCCTTTTTACTTTTTTGTTTTTTCAAATGAATTGTTCTTAGTTGAATCTTGTTTTCTGAATTTGTTTCTATTGATAAGTATTCGTGCCTTGAGTATACGCTTTTTTTTAATATTCGCAATGTTTTTTATGCTATAAATTTTTCCTCAGTTTTTTTTTCAAAGGATGGCTCATATTTTAACAAATACTATACAAATCTAAGTTTCACACTGTATACATAAATTAGAAGTATTCAGCCAAGTTTTATCCAAATCGCAAGATTTTTAATAAGAATTTCCAAAAAAAGTATGTATGCATCCCAATTTTATTATGATAATTTGCAAATTTCAAATGTCTAAAAATTTGGGTTGTTCTTTTAATAATTTTTTGCTGTCCTGTGCATTTTTTCCATATAAAGCATTTTCAAACATTTTTTATATGGAAAAAATGCATAGGACAGCAAAAAATTAGTATAAAACAACGCGCATTTTCAGACATTTCAAATTTGCACATTATCATAATAAAATTGGGATGGATACATACTTTTTTTGGAAATGCTTATTAAAAATCTTGCCATTTGGATGCAACTTGGCAGAATACTTCTAAGTTATGTACATATACAGTGTTAAGCTTGGATTTGTATAGCATTTGTTAAAATATGAGCCATTCTTTAAACAAAACAAAAAAATTCACAAAAATATATAGCATGAAAAACATTGCGAATATTAAAAAAAATATCACCGTATTAATTATTTAATGAATTATTTTATTTTCATTTAGCTTTGGTAGAATTATTAACTAATTTAATTTTATTGTACTGTTTTTGCAATAAATGAAATGGCAATTTAATAAAAACTTCGTTTTTTTTTATATACATATATTATTTATTTTATCAAAGAAGAATTAATAAAAAAAGTTAATACTGAGGCTAAATAGTTTGCTTTTATTTTATTAGTTTTCTTACCGGCTACTGAAATTTTCTAGTGAAACTTAAATATGTACTTATAGTTGAAAATATGTAATTTGGTTATGATTCAAAACAACAATTTTATTACGTGTGTCAAGTTATCACTATATTTCTCTAAATATAAAAAGTTAAATAAGTTTTTCTTTCCACAACAAACTTACAACAAAAAAGTTACAATTAATGCCGTATTTAACTTTTAAATGAGTTGAAATAATGCATTATATAACAGTTGTGCATGTACATAACAGTTGTGCACAAAATAAAAGGAGTCAAAATATCGCATTCCTATTATTTCGTGGACCACTCTAAGTAATATCGGGTAGATATTTCCAATCAATTTATAATGTCGATAACCCAGTTATTTCAATGTCTACATGCATTCAGAGTACATAAAATGGTGAAAAATTTGTAAAGTCATTAAAAATATGTTTGCTTTAAATTTGTAGAAAAACATATCGTCACCTGAAACTCAACAAGTAATTTTTAGCAAAAAAAAAAACCGACTTCAACTCCCATATAAAAAAATATATATATATATATATCTCATGATCCGCTGATCGGATCTCAACCAGATTAGTATGGGACCACCTCTGAGACACTACCTTTCCGATGCAAAAAGAATTATCGGTTGACGTGGTCCAAAGTTATGCGGTAACATACATAAAAAAAAAAAAAATATTCCGACGAACTGATAACCTCCTCCTTTTTTGGAAGTCGGTTAAAAAGACGAAACAAAAATCATTGTTGAAATGCAAAAAGTCATAACTAATAAAAAATTCAAAATTTACCCTTTGATTTATATAATGGATTTCAACGAGTTACAACTTCCCACATCATTTTATGAAAAAAATAATTAAAATATTAGTCACGACTTTGTCAATCTCATTTACGATGTTGTTACGTCTTTTTGCATTTCAGGTGACGATATGTATTTACTTATTTGGTACTTATTCAATAAGTGTCAGGGTGCCGGTAATGTTGTGGTATGATCCTTCTTTGTTATCAAACTGGTTCTTTAATTGACTTAATGCGCATTTGGCAGCTGTGCACTTCACTGATAGTTACGACCAATACCCCGGAATGAACTACTGTGGCCCTTGCACGGCGCCCATCAGCCGTTCGTCGTCATTGAAACGCTTCAAAACGTATTGGAATCGATGTAGTAAAGCAGTAACCGCCAAGCGCCCAGTGAAGACATTCGAATTCAATGATGTATCACCCCCGCAGTTGTATGTGTTAGAAAATTTGTATTAGCGCTGTTAAAAATGCCTGACTAGGCACATAAAACTCCTCTTTGGCATGGTTGTTTTTCGTTGTGATCTTTGTGCTTTCAATGCCGATATTTAGCCAAATATTCCATGCAATCTACGTACAAGAAATGAATAAGAGATCTAAAAAGGTACTAAACTTCCCGCTAAACACAACTCACCCTGCAAATTCCTCATCTTTGTTTCCGCTGTTTCCTCGTTAGTAAGTGATGCCAATTTGTCTGCATTGTCATGCATAATTTCTTGCAGCGATTTTAGTGCGGCCAGCGAGTCTTCACAATTTTTACTCAAGGCAGCGCCATCCACCGTTTCACTGCTTCTAGAGGTGCAAAACTATCGATAGTCAGGCCATCGATAGTTTTCGATATTATTTTCAAAACTATCGATATATCGTCGATAGTATCGTATTTATATGGTTTTGGCTCAATTTTCGTATGAAGATTTCCTTAAGAATATATTCCGAAATTACGTTTCGATAACCTTGTAAACTGCTGGACACTTTTTTTAATTGTTGAACCGTTCAGTAAGAAGTAAAGTTATTGAAAATTTGAAATGAATTGAAATGGAATAAAATTTGGCGTACTGAAATTTTATATTTGTGGTTTTCGATATCCTCCGTCGTATATAAGGCATTCATCAAGTAAATTTCAATTTTAGAAGAAGAAAACATTTTTTATCTGAGAAGTAATGGTTTTTATCTACCTTTTATTAAATAGTAAATAGTGGTTCATATATAATATTGGAAGTTTTGGTATAAATTAATTTGTATCAGTTTTTAGCGGTATTTTAAAAGATGCAAGGTTTTCCGTCAATTTCGAAGTTTGACATTACTCTTTTAAAAAAGTAGCAATCAAATTTTTATTTCAGCTTGGATGTTTAAGAGAAATGAAAAGAAAAGAAGAAATAAAACTTAAATAAATACTGAATCACATGTCTGTCGGACTATCGATAGGACCAAAAAACAATCGATAGTAGGGAAAAATAAAAAACATCGATACTATCGATAGTGCCATCGATAGTTTTGCACCTCTAACTGCTTCCCGTACTGGAAAGCGCACGCACATTATCAAGCAACGGAAATAGAACTTGCCAAATGAGCGTCTGTTATGTGGGCTGGTTCAACAAACGACCATGCCAAAAAAATGCGGAAAAGAGCATTGTGAACCGCACTCGCGGCGGTAACTATGCAATTACCAACTGAAGACACATAGGTATCAGCGGCTCACTGAAATGGTGAAATATGTATACACATTCCTTTGAAAATAATACCAAACAGAACACGCAATTTTACCTATGGTGATCATTTGCATTCCAA